AAGCTTGTTTTAGCCAATCATTTAACAGCTTTTGGTTTCCATCCCTGTGTACTGCCATAGAGGCAGCAGTAGCATATGCTTTTTGGCTAATCAATATCCTTTGGCACTGTGCTCTGTATACATGTCACACTCGGTAGTGCTGCTGATGCATACTCTGGATGCGCAAGAGCTTTGTTTCAAACAGAATGTACAGTAGCATGCAGGCATTTGTGATGTATAATAGTCAACATTTGTTTTGATTTGTGGATCAAAACCTTTCATCTAAGTTGATTTAAAATATTGAACAACACCCATTATGGTCTTAGGACAATGTTGAAAAACTTTTTTGATCCCCTTCAAAGTTGACTGCTACTTCAGTGCACAGTACTATTGCGAATGCGCCCCAGAACTGACACTCAAGAGAAGAAATTGCTATTATTTTTGTTTTATGTGCTCTTAAAAGAATTATCTTAGCTTCATAACATTAAGATTGAACCCCTAATGTCACATGGACTGTTTTAATAATGCTTTTGGTACCAATTTGGGCTTTAAATATCTCACAAATGCTGCTATCTATAGAGGGTCAGAGAGCTCCTGGATTTCATTTAAAATATCTTAAATTGAGTTCTGAAGATGAGTGAAAGTCTCAGGGGATTTAAATGACATGAAGGTGAGTAATTATTCACAGATATTTTATTTTTGTTGAACTACTGTGTACCTTTAAGTTCAAACTGCTCTCCACAACTCATTCTAAAGATTTTCATTGGTCATGTCAAACGTACATTTGGCCTATGCTGAGTAAGCCAGTTGATGACTGTGTTTGGCTGTTGATCTGTGTACAGGTTGTGATTGTGCAGTTTGGAGGAAAGCCCTTCAGCTGTGCCCCTCTCAATGTGGAGCAGTGGCTGTGGTGCCTCTTCGTGGGAGTTGGAGAACTGCTGTGGGGTCAGGTACAGTAGGAGACATAAAGAACGAAAATGGAGAACTACTATCAAAGACAAAAATCCAGTCATTACTTTTCACACAACAAAAGGAAAATTTAAAGAAATAAAAGTCGAGCTTGTGCTCATTCTTCTAAAACGTCTCACAGAATGTGAGAATGTAATGTGCCATGCCTGTACAGTATATTCCACGTTTTGGGAATACATTAGAACTAAGGAAAAACAAAGCAAATTTAAAGAGGGAATTACTTTTTTAATTTTTAATGTACTCTGAGGTCTACTTATTGACAAGATTTTGACATCACAGACATCATCATTTCTTGTTTTTAAACCTCTTTTGAAACATGAAGTTTTAGGTAGATAGGTAGGTTACTTAGTTTTGATGGGCATGCATTAAATACTCAATAATTGGGGATTGGGAATATACCAACATGTACAAATGGGCTACAATTTAAATATGAAACTAATAGTTGGATAGATGTGGCATATTCTGGTAACAGTATACAGTTGTCAACCAAAATCAAACAAAGTGCTCAGGGGCAGCTTAAAAAATGTGTCTGTGGTCTTTGAGTAAGGAATTTATCAGTATAAACAGCAAAAATTAGTCCAAGGCACTTGGAAAATGTAGAAAAATATTAAAGAGCCCCTATTATACATTAAAAAGGGTCATATTTTGTTTTTGAGGGTCTCCAACAACAGTCTGATATGCATGCAAGGTCAAAAAGCACTTTCATTGTCTTATAATATGCATTTATTTTTACCTAATTATCCCAGCCACTCCCATATGATTCGTTCAGCAACTCATTTGTTCCCAAAGCCCTCCTTAGCACGACGTTAATCTGAGCTGATTGGACCGATGACAGCCTGTTGCGATTGGTTGACTGCGTTCAGTGCAAGACAAAGTAAAATGCCCACCACGGCTAATCAACAATATTGAGGTAGTCAGAGTGCAGAGTGTATGTGAGCATACCTGCCAACATTCCTATTTTTCCCGGGAGTCTCCCGTATTTCAGACCCATCTCCAGCCACCCACCCATTTTGTTATTTATCCCAGAAAACTCCCGTAATTTCAAACAAGGATGAGCTAATGATGGTGGCCATAGCAACGACAAAACTGATCCATGATCCACTGATCCATGTACTGATAAAGATCCTGTTGAGCTCTGACAAGTCCCTTTCATCAATAGTCTTTTCTGATCCTTCCTTTAAAAAACGGCCAACGAATGCCCCATTGTAAGCATGTAGATTCCAGAAGCACTCGAACAGCATAAGGCTGGACTATAATGCTTGATGTATTTTTGCAAAAATAAACCTCAACCACTCACTCTTCACAGTTTCATCTTTGAGTAGAGAAAATACCTCTAACTATCCCTCACACTTTCAAAAATATCCCGCTGAGTGCGGCTACTGTTTGTGGGAGGGGCCCTAGGTTTGTGTGCAACAACTGGGCGGGGCTTAAGTTTTGTATCGACATCACGCTGAATCGGCTAAAGACTCGCTATCAAGATGATTCATTTGAAGCACTATGAGATGAGTCGACTCTTTTATAAGTGAATCAACAGTTTTAAACACGCAGCACTTTCAGATTTAAGCCTTATTGTGGAGGGTAGTAGCATCTGTGTGCAAGTCCAATATGAACTAAGGATAGCTGATGTTGTGCTGCATCTTCTTTTGTTTAAAGATACCTGTTTAGTTAACTAATGCCTTTAAAATCTGTTTGCTGATTGTACACACATGAACACATTAGTGCATTGAATGACTTTACGTGTTTGTGAGCTAAACTAGGTTTTTGTGAACTGAGCATTGTATCAGTTGATGAAATATGGTTATTTTCTGTAAATTTAAACAGTCCTATAAAAATTCTGTATTTTTACAGTTAATTCCTGGCAACCCATGCCGGTATTTTTTCGTAAATTTAACGGATTTTTTTAACAGTGTAAATAAATTAAAGCTAAATTATAAATGTTGTGTTGATTGAACCAAACAACATTACATTACCTTTATGTAACTAAATTAAGTTCACTCAAATAAAAAAAATTTCTTAAAGGTAACTTAACTCTATTACGTGGAACCTGTTGACATAAAAAAAGTTATTTAAAGCCAACAAATCATTTTTTGAGTGTATATAAGCTGGATATTTCCCTTCACTTGGAGCTTTGTTACACACTACATGGAAGGTCATTCTCAAAAACCCATAACATGGGCACTTTAAAAAGCCTTTATTGACATAGATATTCTGTAAAACTGCACCTACACATTTTGGCAAACTCTTGCCTTCAACAGGGTAACAGTAAAGAGTCTTTTCAATATTTTTTTCCACATTTTTCGAGTGCATTGGACTGATTTATGCAGTACATACAGTAGCCAACATTTGAAGTGGATCGCATTTGAAGTGCTGTATAACTGCAGGTTAACTATGTATATGTATATATATATATATATATATATATATATATATATATATATATATATATATATATATATATATATATATATATATATATATATATATTAACTTTAACTGTTAAATTCTGTTAGAAACTAGTTAATTAGTTTAGAAACTAATAACCTTAACCTTTCACTATTTGATTGTAATGCAGTAATGTGCACCTGCTTTGAAACCATAATTATTGTGAAAAAGTGCTATACAATTAAACTTGAATTAAATTAAAGTGAATTATCAAAATCTTTCAACATAGTTGTCCTAAAACACCAAATCATTTTTGTCAAATGTTTACTGCTGTAGATCATATAGAGTTTCAAATGTCTAACATGTAGCTGACAAAGCAATGGTGACACATGGTAAAAACATTGTTACTCACACTTGTGTGATGCAGCATTACTGTCAGACCAAATATAGTTTGCGCCTCATTATATCCAGTCTCTCTGAAAAGCCTGAGTTAACCTGACTTGTTTTTAAAATGAGTCTGCAGTAAAATGTATTATTTAGGAAACAATCCTGACCCTTGCCATCGGTCTTTGTAGATGTCTGCTGGATCATGAAAGTCTATTAATCTGGCACTCAGAATGATGACTTAATACTTATATTTGTAAGATCAATGCATAATCTAATAGCTTTAGAGGATTTCCTAATAAGCACAATTATTTATTCTACATAGTGTATGTATTCAAATGTTCCTAGTGAACTTTAAGAAAATATTGCATTTGTTACATGTAAATGTTCATTATTTTGGGTATATCTTGTTTTCTTTCATTAATTTGTATTATGTGATGCATCCAATTGTGAACATTCAAACGCAACTTGCCATATGCGTTTAATTTCAAACCAATGCACATTAATTGGAGTTAGGAATTAGGAGTCCTTGTTTTACTGCTATAACAGCTTGTGCTCTTCGGGGAAGGCTTTTTTCTACTAGATGTTGGAACATAGCTGTGTGAATTTGCTCCCATTAAGACACAAGAGCATCAGTGAGGTCAGACACTGATGTTGGGTAATGAGGTCTGGCTCATCCCAAATTCATCCCACGGGTGCTCGGTTGGGTTCAACTTCTTCCACACCAGAATCAGCAAAGCGTTTTATTGTTGGATGAGCTCTTTAGCTCTCATCCAACTGCAAATATTTATCCATAGATTTTATGCACCTGTCTTATAAATCGTTGAATCTAGAATTGACAGCCCCATTAAAACTTCTAAAAAAGATTTTTATTAGGAAGGTCGTCATGAACGGCCTTTATTTTTTTTGACAGATATTCTCAGCCACAGAGTCTTTGTTTAACCACTCAAAACCTATTAATTTGAGGTGATTTACTTGACCTGTCAATCATTCTGCATATTTGTGGGTTAGTGCAGAGAGCTGAGAGCTTGGTAGATCAAACAGATCATGGAAGTTAAGCATCATGGAAATTCATAATTATTTTTCAGTCTGTTTTGAGAGAACAATTATTTTGCAATCACTACTTTTGTATATCTCAGGATTGTTTTAAAGAGAGTAGTTAATTTGAATGGAAGTCCTAAAGTATAACAGTACTTTTCATTCAAATAGGTTTCTACGTATTTGTTGCCCATACTTGACTGAAGGGAATTTGAGAACAAAAATCCTCAGACTAGATAAGACAGTATTAAAGTTCTGTCAAATGTGAGCATTTACCACAAAATCAATCATGTTTTTTAAAAAGAGATTATTAAAAGAGAGAGATTTATACATCACCTGAATAAATATTCAAGAGTGATCCTATTGCTCTATGGTTTGTAATGATATGACAATATTTGATTTAAAATATTCATTACGAGAGTTAAAATTAAAAAATAAAAATCTGTGGAAATCTCTTTTAAAGCTGTCTATAGCCACATTATTAATCTAAAATTAATTTTTAATGTATTTGTGGTTGACAATTGATCAAATATCTTCCCTAAAAACATGACATTTACTTAATATTATAATATTATAAAAGAAAAATCTATTCTTTTGACCCATTCAACATTTAGCTATTGACTGGTTTTGTGGTCCAGGCACTATGTTGTCAAAATAAAAAAAATAAACAAAACCTAGTTGTTGCTAAAAGCAAATTTACACATGCCATAAGTGCACATGATGAAATTCTATACAAAAAACAGGCTAATGTTGCAATTATATACACTTAGAACTTATACACTCATCCATAGTGTATAGTTTAGTGTCGTCTCAAATAAAAAAAGCTAATGTTTTGTTTTTTTTTACTAACTGTAAATTCAGATTTCAGAAGTCAACATTTAGCAGTTGCCAAATTAGTGCAATAAATTAACAAATAGTATCTGTCATAAGTACAACCGGATTCACCATTAGGAATCAGCATAATCATCTCCATTGAATACCTTTGCCAGCACAATACAAAATAAAGTAATCCAAACATAGCACCCATCAGCAACCATCTTTTTTTTGGATGAATAAATACATCATTTAAATCATTTAAAGTCCTTTATTTTTTTTTAGAGTTTAGAGTTTTCAGTATAAACGCAGTACTTACACTATCTAAACTATAAAATGAACTATAAAACTATAAAAAAAAAACAATTGTGATTATGTTTGCAATTGGGTAAAATTTGAGTTCATTTAAAAATGAAAGTAAAAAGAAAGAAAGGACAACAGTAATAATAACTAACAACAGCCATAATAATAATCACAAGTACTACACCAACTACTACAGAAAGTTAGTAATGTTACAACTACTACTGCTGCTACTACAGCCACAACCGCAACTAATACTACCACTAAGTCTACTACTACTACTGATACTATTACAGCGACTACTACTACTGATACTACTACTAATACTACTACAGCAATGACTGCTACATCGACAACATCTACTACTTCTGATACTACTGCACCGACAATAACTATTACTACTACTACTACTACTACTACTACACATCTACTACTTGTGATACCACAATACCAACGACATCTACTACTACAGATACTACTACAACTACTACTTCAACAACCCCAACTACAACTACAATTGCTTCTACTACAATGACTACTAATACTACTAAAGCAACCTGAATAATGATAATGGTAGAAATACTTGTAATAATGATAATGAGGAGATAACAGGCGATACCCCAGTATTTCAATGGAGTTCCTGTGCTCGTCTGCTACTCCTGATGGCATTTGCATTTAAACAGCTGTTCTTCTCGTTTTATGCCTGAACAACTAAATAAATGCTTAAGTCTTTTTAACTGATTTTATTTTACAACATCAATGCAGTAAAAAGAACCCTATGAAATTGAATATAGTCACAACAAACTTTAACCGTGAAGTTTATCTTTTGAGGAAAGAACACTACATATACTCCATTTGTACATAAAAGTAAAAAATTAGGCCTAGTATAGGGGTAAGCCTTGTTTACCCTCCAGGTTGAGGGTCCTAAAAAGACTGTGTGATCAAACTTTACATAAGATGGATTGTTCTCTTTCTCTCAGGTGATCGCCACAGTGCCCACTAGTCACCTGAAGTGTCTGAAGGAAGCGGGCCACGGGCCAGGCACAGACGAGATGACGGAGGACGAGCTGGCTGAGGATGAAGAGGAGATTGACCACGCTGAGAGAGAGCTGCGCAGGGGGCAGATCCTCTGGTTTAGAGGCCTTAACCGTATCCAGACTCAGGTGCTGTGCATTCGACTGAATAATCCATCCCTCTGGTAGAACTAGTTGAAGTCACATAAAATGATGTCCACAGACAGCAGAGCTGATGTCTCCTCAAAGAATGCTCTTTTGCTTTCGTTTTCTTCTTTCCCCGCTCTCTTTCTCTCTAGACCTTCTGTGAATCACCAACATTAGCTCATCCTTCCTTTTCTATTTCTTCTTCTCTTTCACTACTCTATCTCTGTCTCTGCTGCCCACTGTTGGGATGCTTCACTAAATGGGTATAGATTTCCCCCAACAAGAATCTATAGCATCCCCTCCTGTGCTCAAAGCTTTGTTTTGTCACTCTATTATGCAACTGGAGTGCTTTAAAGACCTAATTTATTGTTTAGTAACTCATTTGCTTCAGAGTCACAGCACAGAATCAGTCGCATCCTGGCGCTGCATGGGACTTCGCAATGATGCTCCTCAGACTTTAGAGAGTTGACGAGGATCTGAAGAGTGTTTTATTCTGGGCTTATACATATGTGAGCATATACAATATAAGGAATAGAACATGCACAGTTAAATATTTGTGTATTTCTGTTTGTGAGTGAAAATTTTAAGGTTTTATTTTTTAAAAGTGACGTTTTGCTGTAAAACTCAACAGTCAACTTTCTCTAATGAAATGAGAGTAGTTAACTCAACGTTTACTGAAAGTTAAATCTACTCATTTGAAATGAGTTTTGAACTCATTGTTGAAGGTATTGAGTTAATTAAATACCTCATTACTTCAACTTAAGTGGAGTAAGTTCACAGTACTCGTTAGATTTGTTTTTTACTCAAATTGTTTGTAGCAATCGGTGTCCTCAAATAGTTTGAGTTGCCTTAACTTATTGGGTTTTACAGTTTGAGTTCTCTTCATTTATTGGTTTTACTGTGCTCGCATTTCTCTGTTTAGTCAAATGGATTAAGTTCACAGTACTTGTCAGGATTAGTTTTTGAATGGTTCATTGCAATCAGCTTCGTCAAACAGTTTGAGTTACCTTAACTTATTGCGATTTAAATACTGTAAAAATAAACATATTTAGAAAAATTATTCGAATTTAAACTAATTATGTCCTATTTTATTATTGATCTTAATTATTTTTTTCTTTTCAGCAGTTATCACTACAGCCTTCAGTAAGGAACAATAATTTAAAATCAGTATAATGTGCTGATTTGCTTCATGAGAAATATTTATTTTTATTATCAATGGTGAAAACTCTGTGCTGCTTAATATCTTTGTGGAAACCATGATAAAAAAAATAGAATTCTTTGAAAAATAAAGCTTTCAAAAGAAAATTATTTATTTAAAACAGCAAAATTTCTATTATTTAATTCCTTCTTGCTTAATAAAATTCTTAAAAGTGACTAAAACAAACATATTACTAACCCTTATAAATAGTAGTGTATCTGCTGGAAAATAAATATACAGTAATATTGTAATAACAGTTTTACCATTAATATGTGTCACTGAGGTCACACTAAGTTATTATACTCTTATTATAACAAAGTTCTATAAGTTAATGTTATTCAATGTATTTGCTAATATGAGATAGCAAGGAATGATTCTTGTACACTATTTTTAACCATAGCCATAGTTATAACCATATGTCAAACACAGTTTAACATTTCTTCACTTTGAAATGATAAGGTTTTATCTACATTCTGAATTATTTTGAACTATTGAGCTTCAAAGCTTTTGCATTTCAAATAGCAATCAATATGTGTGTAACAGTTCTATTTCATACATTAACATGACAGAGACCCTAAATGTACTCTAAATGTAAATAATCCACATTCTGTGTTCGGCATACTGTATATGAGTACACCCCTCACAAATCTATCTTTTCAATTCATATTTTAATAGGAGGCTATACAATATTATAATTGTGCATATACATAAGCTTAGTCAGTACTGAAACTAAATCTGGAGCTTATCTAACAAAATAACTTACGATAACGGTCCTAGTACACCCTAGTACCGGTCTTAGTACACCCAAATTTATATGTTATAGAAAAATATTTAAACCAAATTTAAAATAAAAAGAAAAAATCAAGAGAAGCATAAAAAAATACAACATTGAGTTAAAATTTTGTTGGTTGTATTTATTTTTGCAATATTTAACTTGAATTTAATTTTATTATCTTTCAATTTTTAAATATGTTTGGTGACTAAAATATAATTTTAATAAATATATAAGTTTATTAATCTGTTTTGTTTAAATGCATCAAAATACATTGCCTATATTCACTGAGAAATGGATGCATTCATTTTCAAAATGGGGTATATGCAATTATGCTGAGCACTGTATACATTTTTGACTTTACATAAAAAAGTGAGTAAACCCATTGACTTAATATTAATAACTAATTGAACTGTATGCATAATTCAAAAAAATAAATCAGCTAAAGTTTCAAGTACAATGGGATTACTTACTTTTTTTAAGTAGTCAACAAAGCACTTTTTACAGTGTATCTGTAAGTATTTGTGCCTTTTGCATCAAAGGGCTCTTCTGAAAAAAATTGAGCTGCTTCTATAATTAATCAAATGTTTATAATAATATCTTGTTTCTAATCATAGTATTCAGTCTGGACTTGAGTTTTTACTTGTGGAATTGTTGTGTGCTGGCTCCTTTACTGTATTTTAGTTTACACAGTGGTAGAAGGATCTGTGGTGAGCTGAGCAGTGTTATTTGAGGACATATATAGATATGTGAGGTTTGTGACATAGATTAAGATTCCAGTTGGTTCATGACACTGTAACTTAAGAGAAAAAGCAAATGCATAAATGAACACTTATAAGCTGAGCACTTATTCTTTGGCCACGTTCTTGCTAATATGTGCCATAAGTGAGCAGATTTGATGGAATGGTGGGGCATTATAAAGATATTTTTTTGTTTGGAGTGCCTGGTATGGATTGCTGAAGTGCTTGTAAAGCTCCATACGAGGTTTCCATCGATTCCCTCGACACTGAGTAGGCAAAACGCGACACACATTATGACGGCTGGCCTCATATCTTCAGCCAGCCTAACATAATCACAGCTTTCATTCCAGCATGGCTCTGCTAAGGAGAGCGCCTCCATATCTTACTGTTGTGTTCTTGACACTTAATTATTGATGAGGTCTTATGCAAGATGATTGCATATTCTTACGACATTTCCCATTTCAGTTTGGCTTGTCCTTAAGGACTGCATTTAAAATTGATTCCCGCACAAAGTGAATTTTAGAGAAGGGAAACTTTTCAGGTGGTGTGACTGCAGAGCAAGATTATTTTAGTAAATCAAAATTAAAAGTAAGACTGGAACTACTGGTCAAAAAAAATTTGTGAAACTCAAATAAAAAAGTACATAAATGAAAAACTAAATTAAACTAACAACAATCACTGAACAACTAACTGAAAAAATAACAAAAGTAACAATTATTTTAGAGTTAATAAGCACCTGTTCTTTGGTGGAAAATCTGAACTTGACTGTTTAGAGAAGTACATGTAGATGGCAGATAAACACATAGGGCCCTATCATACACCTGGCGATGCAATTCGCAATGATGCGAACGATGCAATTGTTGTTTGCTAGTTTCAGCTCGGCGCAGGAGTCGTTTTGACATTTTGCACCATGCTGTTTAAATAGAAAATGCATTTGCGCTCATATGTGTGCCCATAGGCGTTCTGATCTAAAAAAGCAGGCGTGTTTTGGCGCGTTGCTATTTTGCGAAACTACAGTAGTCTGTTCTTTAGACCAGAACAAAGCCGGTCTAAAGTCCAGCACAGAGCGAATTAGTTGTGCGCCTCGCTCACACACTGCTTAATGCACACAAGATGTAGAGCAATACGGAAATATCTTTACACATGAAAAAGAATTAAAATATTAAGGATATATATATATATATATATATATATATATATATATATATATATATATATATATATATATATATAGGATATAATAAGGATATATATATAGGATATAAATATAATGGATTAAAATATTACAAAACATATTATGTTCAAGCCTAAATAAATATGAAAAACCACTGCCTTCATGCCTTCTTCATCTCGGGAGGCTTTTTCATTTCATTCAATTTGCTTTTGTATAATGTTATTATTATTAGCAGTATTATTTATTATATCCATATTTATATTTATTAAAAACAAGCTTAGATTTGCCCACCTGTTGGCATATGGGGCACAGCATGTGTATTAGGATATAACTCAGGTTTTTGACCACACTTCGTTATTATTGTTCATTTATTTGTTTGCTGGAAATTAGAACTGAATTTAGAAATAGTTTTAAAAGAACTCTAATTTTCAAGTTTTGTGTCACATTGTTTTAATAGCAAATCCATTTAAGCCACTTTGTGAACTCATGGTTGTTCCGGTCTTAAAAGGAGGTGTGTCTATTGTTGGTGCGTTGCAATTTTGAGGAACTGAAATAGACCGCGCCATTGACCAACTGAAAGCTGAATGCATTAGTTATGTGCCTATGCAGGTCCAAAACACTTACACATTGATTAATACACACAGAATATACACCAATACGCAAATATCTTTATACATGAAAAATAAATTAAACATTAAAATGTTACAAAAATTCTTTTTTTTAATTTAATTCGCTATTGAAGAGTTTAGTTTTTCCACTTACAAAGTCCGCCATGTAAATAGCAAATGAGTAAAACTTACTCCTAAAGGGAATGGGAGATGAGACTCTGATTGGTTTTTTTGCACCCATAACTCATTAAGACATCCCTGTTAGACTGTACGCCATGGCGCAGAGCATATTTACTTAGAAATATCTTTTCTAAAAAAACAAATCATTTCTTAATTAGAGAAAAAACTAAAATAAAGGTGAACTTAACACATTTAACTACATACATGATCTGTAATATGAAGAGGTTGGACTTAATTCTTTATCATTTTGCATTTGTAGGGTTTTGCATTCAGTGTTTGTTAAAACTAGTATTTTATTTTTTATTATTACGAGGTTTACACAAGAATTAATATAAGCCGTGCAAACATTAAACTTGCTTTGGTCGAAATTGAACATGTTCTGTTAACTCAGCTGAACTAATATACTGAAACTAATATAATAATACTGAAATATATAGAATTTAGAATAATATTTAAATATATAGAAATTAAATAAAAATGTGCTCACAAAATAAAATCTAACCAAACCATAAATTAAACAAACTAAACTGAAATGATCAACAAATGCAAAACTGGAAACAAAAATAAATACGAATTTAAAAATGTGAAACTATAATAAGCTTGCTGCAGATGTATTTGTACCCTGTGATATTTGGATGATTTATATTTATACTTTGCTGCGTATTTAAGCATTTAAAGGAGAGTTTTAGAAACAGAAGTACAACACAATGAGAGTTTTGTTGACAAAAAGATATTGGGGAGCAGAATCCTGCTAAATGACCCTATTATGATATCTGGAAATTAGCTTACAGATAGTGTGTAGTATAGCAGTTTGTGCATGTAAAATATCATCAACCATAATTTGAATTATATTCTCCCAGAAGAAAGAACCAGTTATTTCTTTCACAAAGCTTTGTAATAAATTTGCATAACATCTGCTTTGCTTCTCAAACACTGTGGTTCCATTCCGACTGAATCTGGCAGCGTTTAGTTTTGTGTTGTTGACATGTCTAGGAGAGGCTGTTTTCTCCATTACAAAAGCAAATCCAGTTTGCATGCCCTTCCAAAGGATTTGGAATTGTGCTCGAATGGACACAGTAACATTATGGCAATGTTATTGTCCAATGCTGTGTTTCCATGTGCTGAAAAAGCCGTCAGAGCTGAAATTTAGAGGGAATAATGGACATTTGGTTGATTTAGAATCAATCACAACAGACTGGGTCAGCTGATTTGAATGTTATCACTCGATTGAATGGGTGTTATCAGTGCTTATGAACTGATAGATATGGGCCAGTAGGCTTTTGTCATCCATCCACGTGGTTAATCAACTATAGATCACATACAGAAGTTAACAAGGAATTATTTATTAAATTTCCAATTAGTTATATTTTATTAACGTCTACCCCTATCCCAATCCTAAACCCAACCGTCACAACAATGTAAAAACAGATCTCAATCTGGAGTCTATTAGTATAGCTGATTAACCATGTGGATAGATGATAACAGCCTTCTAAGCCTACCAGTAGGCTCAGAAGGCCCCTACTGGCCCATATCTATCAGCTGATAACCACTGCTAATGCCCATTCAATCGAATGATAATATTCAAAGCAGGTAGACTGGGTCATCCAACCAATCACATCAGAGTAGGCTGTTGGAAAGGCAGGTTTAGAAAGAAGGATTTTACTGTATGATGATATATGCGCAATATCACATTAGTAGCAGTGCCATGTGGCTGTATGTCGGCACTGGTGGAAGGCTTGCGTGCATTAGTGTCCCATCAGGGATGATATACAGCCACATCGCACTGCTACAAGTGTGATGATGCATTTATTCAACAGTTTGACTGCAGAATCATGTGTATAATAAAAAAGAAAATCAAACACAGAGAGTCTCAAAACCTTTTTGTATGAGGAACTACATTCTTCTGCCATTTCTTCACATCTGCAGCTGACGTCAGAACAGCAGAAATCGTTTCTCATTCGCTAACTTCACTTTAGAGCTAGTATTTGAATGATTCTCTAGTGTAATGTCTAAAGTGATGACAAAACAGCTGTTTTTGCTGACATTTTAAGATTATAAGGCTGAACGGCATGAAATGCCATCAGTCTACAGACATATCTCCCAGTATTTATCTGTTGCAATCGGGAGATCACAATATTACCATAGTATAAATAAAGCACTACAACATACAAAATAGAGAGATCGACTTAGAAAGTCATTTACCTCTTTAAAAATGATTTGATCAGCTGTAGTTTGAAATTACGCTGTTTCTCTCTTAGGGCTTATTATGCTGTCTTTGTCACCATCTTGTGAATGAACATCAGCAACCCTCTTTGCTCAAAGGCAGACTAATGGCCGCCGATGCGCTGTCTCCCAGAAATTATAAATATTTTAAAACAGGCAGTATCATTATAAATAAACTGCATAGTTGCAATCTAAACAACTACATTCTCACCTAAAAAAAGTCTCAAAAGTACTTTATATTGCCCAGCAGCAGCAATGTTTGTCAAACTGTAGAGTGTCCTCTGCTTGTAGCTGCATGTGGGCGTACACAAGGGTGAAGATTGAAGAGGCTGAACGAGTGCTGTTATTTGAAGAATATTACACGGCTACCAGACAGAAATGTTGTATAAAATTTTATAATTAGAAATTTATTTTCTTTTTTTTCTTTCTTTTTTTTTTAAACCTATTGTACAAGGTCTCTCAAACAAAATGATTAGCTTTTAAAAGAGCATAATTTGGGCAATTATTAAGGATTTATTTTGATTAGATTATTCATGGGTTTTGATCTTGGTGGTGAATGTAGAGATTTGATGGACTTTTTCTTTGCACCAATGAATAACTTTTAAATAAGATCAGGATTGTGTACTACAGTAAGTCAAATTAAAAAAAAAGAAATTTCTTTTATCATTAACTCATGTTGTTTCATGTCAAACACAAAAGACAAGTTGCAGTAAGCACATCTTTGAAACCCAAAATAGATAAAAACACCATAAAAACAAATAGATATTTATGTAGAAAACAGCAACATGAGAGTAAATCATTAAAGAATTTTCAGTCATTTTCGCAGAGCTATCAGATAATATTAGTACACAGTGTCATCTTAGCTTTTTCTTTTCTCCTAATAGATGAATTCACAAAAATAAACACTCCTCGCCCTCTCTCTTTCTATCTCTCTCCTCTCTCTGAAGTGTGTGTATATGACGTGGTTCTCTCTCTCTCCTGCAGATGGAGGTAGTGAGTACGTTCAAGAGAAGTGGTTCGTTTCAGGGTGCAGTGAGACGTCGCTCCTCAGTGCTCAGCCAGCTCCATGACGTAACCAATATTTCTACCCCCACTCATGTAGTTCTCTCCACTGCCAATGCAAGCGCCGCTCCTGGGAGTGAGTTCCCTGCTTTCCCTACATGTGTTTAGACACCACATTCACAATGACAAAAACACAAACACTCAGACATGCACCCAGCACCGCTCCTTACACACAGCAGCACATGCAACATCTCAGCGTGTGTGCCGTGGTTCTTCTGTCCTGCATTTGAAACCTTCTCTGTAGTCGTCTGTTGTTGTGATTGAGTGGCACTTGGCCTGCTTTGACTGACCCTCTATGGGCCGCCGTTTGTCCCTCCTTTTCCTTCTTTCGATTTCTGTGTGCTGTCTTGTCGTGTCGGGCCTTTTCTCTTGCTGTTGGGTTCCTCTTTGTTGTCTGAAGGTGTTGGTTTTGTTTTCCAAATCCCCTTTTCTCAATAAGCCAATCTCTTGTTTTCTCTCTGGCCAAAAGTAATTACTTGCAAACATGAACTAAAACATTAGTTTTTAAAGCTGAAGTGTTTGCTTTTTTTAAATTCAATGAATTTAAAATGACGTAGATTAAGTCAAAGCAGCTTAACATAGATGAAGAAAAGAGAATAAAAGCCATAACATTATTTCACCTTGTGGAACATTACATTTTTCAACAAATTGAATTAAATTTGTCATTAAATTAAAAAGTAATCAGATTTCCTGAACATGTACCGCTGCTTGACTAATTTTAATTCATTCATTCATTCATTCATTCATTCATTCATTCATTCATTCATTCATTCATTCATTCATTTATTCATTCATGCATGCATGCATTAATTAATTTATTAATTAATTAATTAATTTATTTAATTATTTATTTGTTTGTTTGTTTGTTTATTTATTGATTTATTTATTCAATATTTATTTATTCATTTATTTATTAAATATTTATTTATTCGTTTAATATTTATTTATTCATTCATTTATTTATTCATTTATTCATTTATTTATTTATTTATTTAAAATTTATTTAATTATATATTTATTCACTTATTTATTTATTTATTTATTCATTTATTTATTTATTCATTCCGTATTTCTTTCTTTCTTTATTTAATATTTATCTATTTATTTGTTTATTCATGTATTTATTTATTCATTCATTTATTTAATATTTATTTTTTTATTAATCTAATTGTTTTTTCATTAATTTATTTATTCATTCATTTATTCATTTATTTAATATTTATTTATTCATTCATTTATTTATTTGTTTATTTATTTATTCTTTATGTATCTGTTCATTCATTTATATATTTGTTTATTCATTTATGTATGTATTAATTTATTCATTAATTTGTTTATTTCTTTCTTTATTTATTCATTCATTTGTTTATTCATTTATTTAATATAAACTTTTTTTATTCATTTGGTAATATTGTGTTGTATTAGTATCAGATACTATGATTTTAGTTTATTTATTTGTTAATTAATTAATTTATTTATTTATAAGTGTAATTTTGTAATTTTTATTACTTTATTTATAATCTTACTTTATTTTATAATCTTATAATTGTATATACATGTATATACAAGTATTAGTTTGAATTATTTGACTAAATCTAGATAAATTAAAAAATAATTAAGAAATTTTATTTAGTAATATAACCCTGCAGTGAAGACAAGGTATTTATTTATTGAATAACCTGAAAATGAGTCTTATATAGACCATTTCAATGTGGTGATGCCATTGGCCCATGAACATTTTCTGTTTATTGTCAATTTATTTCATATCTGTAAAAAAAAAAAAAAAAAAAGGCAATCAAATATTTACGTTTAAAACAGCTATCATAACATTATTTATCAATATGTCGAGCTTTTTAAATTCATGGAAGCTATGCATTTTTGAAATGTACAACAGGAAATATGTTTGGGCCATTCTCATTGTTTACATCTTTCAAAATGGTCTAGATATTTTAATGTCAAAAAAATACACACTTCAGCTTTAAAATATATTCCTAAAGATATTCGTATTGCATTTGTTTAGACATCGGAATATTATGTAAGATATTATATTAAAACATCAAATGTTATATATAAGACGTGACTTTATTTTGTATTTAATAAGTGAAAAATAGTTTGAATCATTTCTTAAAACTAAAAAAAGATCCTGCACCATCGCAAAAATGTCTAGAGCTGGTTGCTCCACTAGTAAGCCTGTATTTAAATGTGAATTGAGTTCACAAATCCTCAGAGAGAATACAGAGAGAACACGGCACTCACTTATTTTCCGAGAGGCTTCTGTTGACTAGTCAAGCGTGGTTTTCTAAAAGATGAGGTTTTACACTAAGCAGAGGTATTCAATGTGCTGCACTGCTATGGCTTTTGAGCCTAAACAGGGGTAAACCTTCGAGTATAAAGCCCTATAAGGTTCTTCTCCCTCTGACACTTCTCTCTGTCTCTGTCCCTCTTTCATTCTCTTTCCTCTCTTAGTCTTTCCAGATAATGCATCTTGTGTTTTTCATCATGAGACTGTCTGAAAGCGTCCTCTAATGTCTCTGTGCTACTGACTGCGTCCCCCTTCCACAGATCCTCACAGTCTTTTTCTCTGTCCCATGGTTTCAAATCTATTTTTACCTGTCTCATGTTCTCTCCTCTGTAGGCATCTACTAAACTCTTCTAAACTAACAAACAGTCTTTCATTTCTGTGTCAAACCTAGTCTTAGAAGTAATACTTTCCAGGAATGAAATCAAGGGTTCAAAATAAGTTCAGCTCTATTGATAGCATCAGTGTCACGGTGTTGAAAATAATAACTCGGCTGTCAGTTTCTAAAGACACGCAGATGCTCTCAATAGAACAAAATTAGAATTCAGTGCCAAAAATACATTAATTCATCCGTCTTTCATCTGTGGAACATAAAAGATGTTTTGTGGAATGTTAGTGCTGCTCTTTCATACATTGGAAGCAGATGGGACCAAAAAAACAACAACCTAAAAGCATTGTGAAACTTATATTTAATCCGTTTGTGAAGGCCACAGAGCATCATTTAGATTACAAAGTAATTTTACGGTCACCATTCACTTTCATAGAGCAAACAATAGTTTGTACTTTAAATGTAGTTATAAAATTGTGCTTTGATGTTCTACAGAAGAAAAAAGGTTATACGTGTTTATAATGACACAAGGTCAAAAATACATTAATTTTCCCGGCTTTCATCTGTGGAATATGAAAGAAGATGTTTTGTAGAATGTTGTCGCTGCTCTTTTCTACAATGAGAGCAGATGGGACCAAAAAAACACCCTTAAAGCATTATGAAATTAATTTTTAATTGGTTTTTGAAGCATCATTTACAATACAAAGTACTTTTCCGGTCACCATTCACTTTCATAGGGAAAACAATAGTTTGTACTTTTAAATTTAGTTATAAATTTGTGCTTTTATGTTCCACAGAAGAAAAAGTTAATTCATGTTTATAATGGCACGAGGCCAAATATACATTTATTCATCCGTCTTTCATCTGTGGAACATGAAAGAAGATGTTTTGTAGAATGTTCTCACTGCTCTTTTCTACAATGGGAGCAGATGGGACCCAAAAAAAAGCAACCTAAAAGCACTATGAAAATTTTTTTTAATACCCTTGTGAAGCATCATATACATTACAAAGTACTTTTACGGTCACCATTCACTTTCATAGAGAAAACAATGGTTTGTATTTTGTATTTAGTAATAATTTTGATGTTCCACAGAAGCAAAAGGTTATACGTGTTTATAATGACACAAGGCCAAAAATACATTCGTTCATCTGCCTTTCATCTGTGGAACATGAAAGAAGATGTTTTGTAGAATGTTGGAACTGCTCTTTTCTACAATGGGAGCAGATGGGACCAAAAAAAAAAAAAAAAAACAACCTATAAGCATTACGAAACCTTAATACTTTAGTGAAGCATCATTTAGATTACAAACTACTTTTACTGTCACCATTCACTTTCTTGAGGAAATCAATAGTTTGTACTTTAGATTTAGTAATAGATTTATGCTTTTATGTTTCACAGAAGAAAAAAAGTTAAACATGTTTAGAATGACATGAGGGTGAGTAAATCATGACATGATCATTTAATCCAAAATCATTTTCTCATTTAACTTGTTTTGAACCCAACATGTTGCTTTTATAAGCAGAACTTTAAGGACTTGTATAGTTTGTTTAGTTGTATAGTAATGTATAGTTGCATGTTTTCCTTTTTGGGGAATAGAAGACTAACCACTTCTTTATCAAAACTTATAGTTTTCTCCATCTTTGTGATAGTTTTTTGTTTCAGGCTATACATATTACAATGGCACATCATGTATTTCATTGCGGCTGACTGCTCTGTTGTGCTTCATGTTTATCTGTGCATTTGTCATCACTTTCTTCACTCCACATGGACGCATGTGGAGGAAATAAGCCACTCCACTCACATTAGCATTTTTCCAGCTTTAAACATCTCTTATGTTTTGTTTCCTCACACTATTTGTTTTTCTTTTTGGACCAAAAATGAATCATTCTCTCAACTTCATTTTAGAAGTAGAAGCACATGTAGTTGAAGTGTTGATATCCTTGCCTAAATGTAATGTTTTTGCTCATTTTTGATGTATATGATTATACATCATCGGTAAATATAGTTGAAAATCTCTCAAGAGAAGAAAACACTATATTCACGGCTCTTCTTCACAGCTTCCTCACACACACACACACACACACACACACACACACACACACACACACACACACACACACACACACACACACACACACACACAGATGTTTGTTTAAAAATATTTGACAGATCTACGGATCAAGTTTGTTTTCATTTTAGGTTTTGTAAGATGGCTTCGCATTGTAACCCAGAGGTTGAGAAGAAGCCAGTGCTGCCACTGATAGATTTCATGTTTATCTCGCTCATTTGTTCAAATATTTGCCTTGTACGGTAACGCTTCACTGCTTAGCACAGATGCTCACTATCAGTAAGAGAGTCGGTGGAATATATTTACTCATGTGGAAGAGTCTAAATGACTTCAATTTATTAAAGTTTTTTAGTTTTGATTACTACCATCTGATAAAAATA